CACACACACACACACACACACACACACACACACACACACACACACACACACACAAAGCTGGAAGTGGAGCTGGGTGGTAAAATACAGCTCTGAGCAAAAAAGCTCAGAGACAACACCCAGGCCCTGATTTCAAGCACAAGACACACACCTAGAGACACATACAGATACACATGGACAAACAGATACACATACAAGATAAAATCATATAATTTAAAATGATATCCTTTAAAAAGTGAAGGAAGGGGCTGGGAAGGTGGCTCAGTGATAGAGTGCTTGCCTCACATGCATGAGGCCCTGGGTTAGATTCCTTAGCACCAATAAGCAGAAAAAGCTGGAAGTGGCGCTGTGGCTCAAGTGGTAGAGCGCTAGCCTTGAGCTGAAGAGCTGAGGGACAGAGCCCAGGCCCAGAGTTCAGGCCTCACAACTGACCAAAAAAAAAAGTGAAGGAAGGATGTAATATAATGTTTAAAAAAGGAGCAAAAGTTTGGAAGAGCTCATGAAGGAGATGGAAGAGAGCTCAGTGTTAAGTGAATGTACCTGGAGACTCTAGCTGGGGTTAAAGACAATGAATTTGGTGGTTCCAATCTGCATAGTCCTTTGATTTCTCCAGAAGTTCCCAGTAGGCTAAGTTCAATAAGAAAGACAAACAGGGAAGATCTGCAAGGCATTATCAGAGCAACAAAATGACAAGACTTGTAGCTATAGCAAAGGAAGAAGATCCAGGAGTAGAGCCTGGGAATTATAGAATAGTTGAGACTAGAACCAATTATCAGGTCAGAGAACAGACATTCTGGATACGGTATGAAGAATGGGATGGTAAAGAAGAATGCTAGTACATGGGGTTCTGAAATCTGCAATTTAAATACTGGAGCAATTCCTGGTTGTTAGCATGTCTTCCCCCATTTTGGTTTGACTGCCTCCCTCTAAGGTCCTCTGTCCTTTCCCCGAGATTGGGTGACCAGGCCAGGCTTGGCCACAATTGTTAGCCCCCACCCCATTGCCGAAACTACAGGTATCTCTAGCTTCCTCTAGCATCAGTGGAATGCTGTCCACTCAGGTCTGTCTAGCTGCACTTCCCGACTGTCAGCGAAAATTCCCTCCCTCAGCCTTCCTGTCCTGCCTTGAGCTTCCCTGGCACTATACAATTAAACTTCCTTCTCAAGGACAGGCTACTACTCTCTATCCTGAGCTAGCTAGCCTGTCAGCTCCTGCTGACAATAAAACCCCTTGGTTCTCTGGGCTAGTGCTTTCACAGGAAATGGAGATGGGATATGAATGATAAAAATGAAAGGCAATAGAAGTAAGAACTGAAAAATAGGGCTGGAGTCTAACTCCCATTTTCTGCATGGGGGATCAGGAAATGTTTTTCTCTTTCTTTTCCTCTACCATACTAAAATAAATCCTTGCCAAAATTCCCAACAAAAACTTCCAAAACAACAACAACAACAAAGGAATGACAAGTAGAGAAGAGTTGAAGGGAAACAGTATTTTGGTTAGAGCACAGAGGAGGATCCCCAGCCCCAAGGAGGAACCAGGGAAAGGAACAGCCAAGATCACCTGAAATGACCATGAAGCAATGGTTTACATAAGTCCTACCAACTTCTATTAATGAAGGGTATCATTTACAAAAAGCCAAAAAGATAAGTAACAGGTAAATATGAGGTTAAAATTTAGTAAGTTTTAGATTGTTTTTTTTTTTTAATCTTTCTGTTTATACACAAGAGACTATGGGTTAGTGGGTTGGCCCATTTCTCCTAGTTCTGTTGTTATTCTTGATCCTCAGGAATGTACCCAAGATTCTTCTTCTTATCCATGATGAAGGACATCATATGCATAAAGGATGCATTATTGGGCCTTCAAAATTACTGAATTCTTGATTTGGTTAAATGCCTTCTGATGGAGTTTAATTGCATTCCAATGAATAATAAAAGTGGAGATGTTATAATCTTTAATCATGGTTTAATTCTTCTAATATATTTACGGTGGTTATTCTGAAGTCTTTTTGTGCTAAATCTGGTATCTGGTTGCAGTCACAGTTTCAGTTGCCTGTTTTGGCCCACTGGGGAAATTTTTCTTGTTTCTTTGCCTGTCTTAAACATTTTGTTGGAAAGTAAACATTTTAGATAATATTCTATAGAAAATTGGGGTACTAATTCTCTCTTCTCCTAGGGCCTATTTTTGTTATTTGCTTGTTTGCTTATTTATTTATTTATGCCAGAACTCGGGCTTGAACTCAGGGCCTGGGTGTTGTCCTTTAGCGTTTTCACTCAGGTTGGTGCTATACTACTTGAATCACAGCTCCATTTCCAGCTTTTTGCTGGTTAATTGGAGATAGGAGTTGCATAGAGTTTCCTGCCACGGCTGGCTTCAAATTGGGTTCCTAAGACCTCAAGCTCCAGAGTAGCTAGGATTATAGCATGAGCTCAGATGTTTGTTGAGGAACTTGTTTTTTTTTTTTTTTTGACAGTCGTGGGGCTTGAACTCAGGACCTGGGGCTTGAACTCACGGCCTGGGCTGTCCCCGAACTTCTTTTGCTCAAGGCTAGCACTCTACCAGCCACAGCACCACTTCTGGCTTTTTCTGCTTATGTGGTACTGAGGAATTGAACACAGGGCCTCAGGCATGCTAGGCAAGCACTCTACCGCTAAACCACATTCACAGCCTCCTCAGATGTTTCTTAATTTGCAGTAACTACATACTAGGAACCATCATCAGAGGCGTTAAATGATTTATTTACGTATTACTTTTAGTGGGCAGTAGATCTATAGAGCTGCTCACACTTCCATGATAAAAATGATTCTCATGAATTTTGTTCACTTTTATTAAGTAAAATTCCATGGTGTGAACACACTAACACTTAGTCATCTTCTTACTAATGGAAATTTGAATTGTTTCCAGCTTTTCTGCTAGCCTAACACTGTTGCCATGGGTGTTCTTATACATACATCCTAGTGCACACAGGCAGTGGTCCTGTTGGGATACATACACTTTATGTATATATGTGCCTAAGAACGGGAATGGAGGTCAAAAGCTGTGCTAATCTCTAACTTTACAAAGTAATTCAAGTTGTGCTCCATAGTAGTAGTTTCAATTTTTTTTATTATTTATTTATTTACTTATTTATTTATGTGCTAGTTCTGGGGCTTGAACTCAGGCCAGGGCACTGCCCCTGCTAGCTCAAGGCTAGCACTGTATCACTTGAGCAACAGTTCCATTTCCAGCTTTTTTAGTAGTTTAGTGGAGATAAGACTCTCACAAACTTTCCTGCCCAGGCTGGCTTTGAACTGTGATTCTTAGATCTCAGCCTCCTGAATAGCTAGGTTGACAGTCATGAACCACCAGTGCCTGGCAGTAGTTTCAATTTTATTTTCCCCCCAGAGCTAAGGATTGAACTGAGGGCCTTGAACTTGCCAGGCAAGTGCTCTTCTACTGAGCTAAATCACCAACCCCAGTAGTTTCAATTTTTATTTCCAATCAAGGTTATATAAAAGTCCATATGACCTACATCTCTAGTGATCTACATTCTCTTCAACCTTTGTTTGCTGCAAATCTAATAGATATAAAATTATCTTACTGTAGTTACTAACAAGGGTACACATGTTCATGTTTACACTGTTGATGGTTATTTCTGTACATTTTCTTAAGCTGAGACACACACACACACACACACACACACCAACACACACCTATCTTCTTTCTTTCTCCATCCTCCATAGTTCATATGTGGTTCCTTTCTTTATTTTTTCTTATGGTTCTGGGAATCAAATCCACAGTCTCATACATTCTAGGTAAACATTCCATACTGAGCTACATCCTTGGCTCTTAAGAGAGCCCTTTAGCTGAATCTAGAAATTGAGTAAGGAAAACATTTTATAATTCTTAGACAAAGAATAATAAATTTGTAAAGGAGTGACAGGACAAATAGACCTCTGTAAATTCTAGGAATGTCATTAAGAGATATATAGGGGAGTATTGAAGTTAGTGGAGATAAAGGTTACTTCAAAGAATTTGCTGACTCTGCTGCAATGAATTACCCCAATTGCCAGTCTGGTGATCAAGGCTATGTTGTGAAGGACCTCTCTCCCAAAAGAATGAAGGAAAATGAAGTCAAATGGCCCTTTCTGAAGTTACAGTTCCTCAAGTAATGTCAGATTGAAATGATCAATATGCCATTTGTCATATCCTAGAATGGCATGTCCTTAATTCCAATTGTTGACCTTTTCCTTATTGTAATTCAGTATATAAACATTAAGATATGTCAATGGTATGCTGGCATATCCTGAAACAGCATGTCCTTAACGCTAATTATTTACCTTTTCTTTATTGTAATTTAGTATATAAATATTAAATTTTGTCAATTATATGTGTTGTAAATAAATTTTGTCAGGCTTTGGCTTATCTTTACAATTTCTCTGAAGCAATTTTTGGTAAACAGAAGTTCAAATTTTAGTATGATTGAATTCTATCATTCTTTTTTTTTTTTTTTTTTGGTTGGTTGTGGGGCTTGAACTTGTTCTTCAAGTTCTTTTAGGGACTGGGTGCTACCCTTGAGCTTTTCTGCTCAAGGCTAGTATACTCTATCACTGTGAGTCACAGCTCCATTTCCAGTTTGGGGTGGTTAACTGGAGATAAAGAGTCTCACAGACTTTCCTGTCTGGGCTGGCTTTGAAATGCAATCCACAGATCTCAGCCTATGGAGTAGCTAGGATTATAGGTGTGAGCTATCAGTGCCTGGCTCTATCATTCTTTTATGCTTTACTTTTTGTTTCTTATTCAATAAATATTTTTCAAACATTTCAAGATTTTAAAAATTATCACTAAAAATGTAAAAGCATTATTTTTTCTATATTAGTATCAAACTGTCCTAGCATTAGTAATTGAATTTCTCCACTGATTTGCATTTAATTTGCCACCTCTATCATCTGTTAAAATTATATTTATGCCTGTGTGCTTTTGGACTTTCTATTCTGCTCCAACAATTTATCTTTATGCTTATGTCATTTGTTCCTACTTACTACAGCTTTATACTAAGGCTTCATTTCTGTAAGGCAATTGCCAATTTTCTTCTTTCAGAATGTTTTTCCATACCTATGTTCTTATCAGCTTGTCAAAAACCACTTACCAAAACTACTAGAATTATCACTGTTACTGCATTATAAGTATAGATAAGGGCTTACTAATTGGGACCTACAAATACACATTCCTAGTTGGGTAAGCACAATGTTTTGTAAAGATTTTCAATTTGAATGTTTGTAACAAGATGGAGACTTTATTTAGCCACAAACCCTGTCTCATTAACTATATACTATATTAACCTAGTTCATACTTTTCTTTTTTTTGTTTGGTCCTGTAAGTTTTAATTTTTTTTACTCAGGGTTAGGTTACCAGTGGCTCATGCGTATATTTCTAGCTACTCAGGAGGTTGAGATCTGAGGATTATGGTTTGAAGCTAGCCCGAGAAGGAAAGTTTGTGAGACTCTTATCTCTAACCACCAAAAAACTGGAAGTAGAGTTGTGGCTCAAGTGGTAGAGCGCTAGCCTTGAGCAAAAAAGCCTAGTGACAGTACCCAGACCCTGAGTTGAAACCCCCAGACTGGCAAAAAAAAAAAAAAATTACTCAGTCTTTTTCTAGAATCTTTCTTCCTAGGATTCTCTTGTTAGAGAACCAGAACTTTTCTAAAGATAGCTGACTGTTCAAATTTCCTATTTCTCCATTCTGTAGAAAAAAAACAAACTCATGTATGTCTAACTCTTTAAAATGTTGGCCATATCCAAAGAGAATTCTTTTCATTAATAAAGATTGCTTGAGATATTTTCTCAAAAGAACAATTTTTCCTGTAAGGAATTTGAAAATTTTCTTAAGGTTATTTCTTAGAATCTAGGCAACTATTATTTTACAGTATGGTATCTAGTTTCTACCTAGGATAGGGAACTTTTCTTTCAAAAATTTAAATACTTGATCTACCTCCTTACTTACATAATTTATGAGACATGAAAAATAATTCTTATAGTCATTTCCTCTATAGGTAAAGTGCCCCTCAACTTCTTTTGAGACTTTCTGTTTTTAAAAATTTTCTGTAGTTGAACTCTGCTATCTTAGATGAATTTCCTAGTGATTTTCCTAAGTTCTTTCTTTCTTTCTTTTTTTTTTTATTCTGGGCCTGGGCGCTATCCCTCAGCTCTTCAGCTCAAGGCTAGCGCTCTAGCACTTGAGCCACGGCACCACTTCCAGCTTTTTTCTTTTTGCTTATGTGGTGCTGAGGAATTGAACCCAGGGCCTCATGCATGCAAGGCAAGCACTCTACCACTGAACCACCTTCCCAGCCCCCTAAGTTCTTTCTATTGTTGAGTTTTCAGAAGTTTTTTAACTCCTGGGCTAGTCCACACTAAGATTCTAGTAGCTAGTCAATTATCCTTATACTATTTCTTCTTTGCAGAGGCTCTTATTTTCTGGATCTGCCTGTCGCAAGCATGCCTTGTGATCTGTTATCTGATATGTCGTAGGAGTTGTGGATTTTCCATTTTTCACCTTTATTGTTTCTGTGAGGACAGGAGTGATGATGTCCAAGTTACTTTCGTGTCAAAGAGGTTAAACTACTTCTGAAAGAAATATTTTTGTACCTCTTTAATTATTTGCTTAGTGAACTTGGGTTAGGTCAGTGTTTTTTAAGTTTTTGATACATATTACCAAAAAAACTGTATTAAAATAGTGTAAACAGGGGCTGAGAAGATGGCTCAGTGGTAGAGCGCTTGCCTTGCATGCATGAGGCCCTGGGTTCGATTCCTCAGCACCACATAAACAAAAAAGAAAAAAGCCGGAAGTGGTGCTGTGGCTTAAGTGGTAGAGCGCTAGCCTTGAGCTGAAGAGCTGAGGGACAGCGCCCAGGCCCAGAGTCCCAGAGTTCAGGCCCCACGACTGGAGCCCCTCCCTCCCCCCAAAAAAAAGTTAGATTCATTTATTTGTGACAAGGTTTCATTAAGTAGTTCCAGGTCAGCCTGGAACTATACTGTTTCTCCCTCTTAGAGTTTTTTATTTATTTATTTATTTATTTTTTTTTTTTGGGTCCGGTCATGGGGCCTGAACTCTGGGCCTGGGCGCTGTCCCTCAGCTCTTCAGCTCAAGGCTAGCACTCTACCACTTGAGCCACAGTGCCACTTCCGGCTTTTTTCTTTTTGCTTATGTGGTGCTGAGGAATCGAACCCAGGGCCTCTGGCATGAAAGACATGCGCTCTACCACTGAGCCACCTTCCCAGCCCGAGTTTTTTTTTTTAAATAAAACTAATAAATAATGAATTCAACTCACGTTCCATTTGATCAAACATTACTGAGAAGAGGAAGTCCCTTGGTGTCATATAATATTCTCCTTCATGTTCCAGTGAAGAAAACTGCATAAACCGCTGTTTACGAAGGCTTACTTTTTCTATTGCTTCACAGTCACTTTTCTGGAAAAAAAAAAGTAATTAAATGTTTTTCAGTATTCCTAAACTCAGCTATTTTCAGAATAGTCTCAAAAAGTAATTTTTATGTTATATCTGACAGCCCTTAAAGTTTAAATCACTTAGTAAATATTTGCTTAGTGACTACCTTCTGCCAGTGGGCACTGAGGTGGGAGAGTAACAGTAAGTATATAAATTAATGTAAGACGGTGAGAAGTGCCCCCAAAATTCTTTAGGTCTGGAAAGAGAGAAACAATTAGTTGCCTTGTACACTTAAGAAAGGTATCTCAGAGCAGAAATATTTAACTGGAAATCAATAAATGAGTAGTTTTCCAAGACAGGGAACAATAGTTGGTTGTTTTTTTTTTCAGTCATGGGGCCTGAACTCTGGGCCTGAGCGCTGTCCCTCAGATCTTCAGCTCAAGGCTAGCGCTTTACCCCTTCAGCCACAGTACCACTTCCAGCTTTTTCTGCTTATGTGGTGGTGAGGAATCACCCAGGGCCTCATGCATGCAAGGCAAGTACCTACCACTGAGTCACCTTCCCAGCCCCCGGGAACAATAGTTAAACAAACTATGCCAAGGTTAGTTCTAAGATCTGGGCAGTCAAATTCATGGTGTAGTCTTTAAGGCACATGACAAAAATGGAAGGAAGAGGAGAGCAGAACATCACCAAGGTTTTGACATCTGCTTTTGTTAATTTACTTAACAGCCATCATATAGGTAAGGCATGAAAGCCTATATTGGAAATATGGAAATACCATGACTCAGCACACACTCCTGACCTACATATCAATCCAATAAACTTGGCTAGTTTTAAAACTCGAGTATATCAAAATGTTAAATTAAAAATGCTCATCTCTTCTGGTCTGAACATATTTTCTTTCTTTCTTTTTTTTGTTGTTGTTGCTGATCCCGGGATTTGAATTAAGGGTCTGGTGCTGTCTCTGAGCTTTTTTGCTCAGGGTTAGTGCTCTACCACTTGAGCCACAGCTCCACTTCTGACTTTTGGGTAGATAATTGGAGATAGAAATTTCATAGACTTTCCTGGTAGGCTGGCTTTGAACCATGATCCTCTGATTTCAGCCTCCTGAGTAGCTAGGTTACGGGCTTAAGACACTAGTGCCCGGCTCCTTCGCTCTTTCATCTGGAAGTTTATTATCTCCTGCCTTCTTGTGGGGTACAGAATTCCACATGAGTATTAAAATCCACAGATTCTTTCTAAACTGGAAATGGGATACATATAATACACTAAACTAGAAAAGAGTGAATGATTTCCTTGTTTCAGTCTGTTCATTACTAATAAGCAGCATACAGAAAACTTCAAGTCTAATAAGATAACTCTGGTTTCTTTGAACGAAACACTGGAAAGGCAGTACAAATGATACAAGTGTCTTGTCACTGGGCCTCAGGATTAAAATCTCACAGGATTTTCCCCAAGGCTTAGATGGCTAAATTAGTAAACAGAAACCAAGTAAATAAACTTGTAAGTGGTTATGATTTTTTCCTTTTTTCAATTAGTAGACATATAGACTTTGACTTTCTTTCTCTTTCTTTCTTTTTCTTTTTTTTTTGGGTGGTCATGGGGTTTAACTCTGGGCTTAGGCACTGTCCCTCAGCATTTCAGCTCTACCTCTTGAGCCACAGCGCCACTTCTGGTTTTCTGAGTGGTTTATTGGAGTTAAGAGTCTCATGGACTTTCCTGCCAGGGCTAGCTCTGAACCACAATCCTCAGATCTCAGCCTCCTGAATAGCTAGGATTACAGGTGTGAGTCACCGGTGCCTGGAGATATACAGAATGTCTTGAAGTCTGGTTCAGCGATTTAACCCAAGTGTTATGGTACACACTTGTTATTCCAGCATTGGGAGAGTGAGGCAGGAGGATGGAGAGTTGAGGCCAACCTGGTCTATTCAGTGAGACCCTATTTTAAATACTCAAAAAAAGCCATCAAAGAAAACGAGCTACTTCTGTTTGCCTACACATGAGTGGGAGCAGCTAGCTGGGTAGGAAACTTCAAGTCACCCGCCTCAAGTCATTTTTTTTCCAATTGTAATTGTTCTGTACAAGATGGAATCTTTTTGAGCCGGTTACAATGTGAGTCACCACATTTTCCACAGTGCTTGTTAATTCATCAGCTAATGAGGTCTGGTCCTCACTCCGCCTTTTTGTTTTCACTATTAGCCCTGAATGACATTTTCATTTAATTGTTTGCTTCCAAACATAAGGGCTGTTCCTTGTTTTTCTTTTGTGGTATTGGGCTTTGAACACAGGGCCTTTAATTGCTAAGAAGGTGCTTTACCACTTAAACCACTTCATCAACCCTTTTGTGTTGGTTATTTTCAAGATAGGGTCTCATTTTGCTTCTAGGCAGGACTGGACTGTGATCCTCCTATTATGGTCCTTCCCTTTTCACTTGTAGTGACAGGTGTGTGTGACTAAGCCTAGTCACTGTGCTTCCCCCATAGCTTGGGATAATAGGCACATGTCTCTGCACTTATCCACTGGTTGAGATGGAACCTTGGACAACTTTTACGCCCACATTGGCCTAAAACCATAATATCTTAATCTTTGCCTCCTAAATAGCTAGGATCACAGGCCTGAGCCATTGGATGCTGAATATGTAGAGCCAGCACAAATGCAGGGTAACACACTAGTTTCACTTAAAAATTTTTTTTTGCTTTGCTGGTCCTGGGACGTGAACTCAGGGCCTGGGTGCTGTCCCTGAACTTCTTTGTGTTCAAGGCTAGTGCTCTCCACTTGAGCACAATGCTACTTCTGGCTTTTTCTGAGTAGTTTATTGGAGATAAGAGTCTCACAGACTTTTCTGCCCGGGCTGGCTTTGAATCGTGATCCTCAGATCTCAGTCTCCTGAGCAGCTAGGATTACAGGTATGAACCACTGGCGCCCAGCCAGTGGAAATTCTTAATTGTCCACTTTACACAGAGTATAATTCTTTATTTTTTACTTTGATGCTTACCCTTTTAAGATTTCGAGTCCAATTGAGTTAATACTTGTGAATATTTACATTTCTTAAAAAGAAAATATGAACCACTTGTAAAGTGTTTCTCTAACTATACCATGGGATAGTGCATCTTATCAAGTTTTCCTCCGGTATATACTCATTATAAACTTTTGTAAATATTTTTTGGCTTTTGTTTTTGTGTTTTGTGCTAGGACTGGGGCTTGAACTCAGGGCTGCTTGCTCTCATTCTGCTTTTTGCTCATGGCTGGTGTTTTACCACTTAAGCCATGCCTCCAGTCCCAAATTTTCTATTTTGTCAGTAAATCATGGTAACCTTCATTATCAGCATGGAATGGTTCATTGTTTTCCTGAGCACAATGCATTTATGAGTGGATATCTCCAAATGTCTTTAAAAAAATGCCTATTTTGCACTAAAATATTCATTAAGAGCAGAATGGAGAGCACAAAGCCTGACAGTGAGGTAGCATGGAAAATAATATAAAACAGACATGGTCTGAACCAATCAAAGTTCCCACCATTACTAACGTAGGGCCCCTAGCTATATTCATGAGATGATCTTCAGTCACTGTGGAACTATGTAGGGAATATTCTGCTCAAAATGTAGGAAGATGTAAAATAATACAGTATAACAGTTCTAAATGTAAATCTTTCATAAGAAAAAAGTTTTCTTTTTTACAAAGATAATTTTAGTTATCTGGAAGATTCATGACATGGCATAATTCAGACTCCACTGTCTGACTTACTGACATCCAAAGTACTTTGTAGAATGTGTGTGTCAGAAAAATAGCAGGACTATGTTTATATAGGCTGAAAATGATTAGAGCTGTGAGTGAAAACAGAATGTCTTCCACAAAAAATACAAGGAGACATAGTTTGGCATTGTCATAAACACTGTTACATGTCAAATAAAATTAAAATACAAGACGCAAATGCTTTCATCTTCCCAATAATGTCAACATATGTTTTTAAAGAGCTCACCATTAGTTCATTCTTTAGTCATAATGAGGCATCACAGGAAAAGAATCTATGAATAACAATGCAATGTGCTCACACACAGATCTTCAGGTTTCAGGATGTCAAGAACAATGTGACGGTTATCATCTCCTAGGGTTAAGGCAATTGCTAACATAGATTAAAAAGTACCATAATACAAATTTTGAGCAATTTAGTTTGGATATAAATTTTGGCACCAGTTTTGCTACTCATGTATAACATTCTTTGAAGTGCTATGGATCGTTTCAAGGCTATTGAGAATACATTAGCCCTGAAGGAAATCAGAATCTAGCCCTGGAGGAGGTCAGAATCTCTAGGTACTTTAAGATCTGATGCACAAACCAAGCTTTAAGTTTTTCTGACTCTCTTTGTATTTTACTCTGAACTTACACAGGAAATATATGTGTAAATAAAATTGGAATAAATTTTTTCTATGCTAGTTCCACTCCCCCCAAAGCATAATGAACCTTCCTAAAGTGAGATAATTCTTTAAAAAGTCAATTTTCAAAAAATCTACAAATTTACTGACAGAGTAGTAAGTCAAAGCTTTTAAAAACCTTCTTGCCTTTCATCCAACCTGACAAAACCCCAAGCCCCAAAAGAACAAAGCAGCTATGCTAAGGCCTTAAACTTTAAATTTCTTGGAGAGGAACTTCTAGGTACTAAAAATCTAGACCCAACTGATAGACCATACCCAGGCTGCAAAACAGTTTGTTTTTCAAAAAGACAAGTGTGATGTAAGAATGCAAAGGTGGAACTCTGAGCTACCTCACTGGCTTGGGGTGTACATAGCATAATTCACTATACTCACACTGTAGTGACATGACTGTCCTATAAAAAGCAGTAAAGTGCACCAAGGAGGGGCTGTCATAAAAAAGGGTTATATGGGGCTGGGAATGTGGCTTAGTTATAGAGTGCTTGCCTAGTATGCATAAAGCCCTGGGTTCGATACTCCAGTACCACATAAACAGAAAAAGTTGGAAGTAGCACTGTGGCTCAAGTGGTAGAGTACTAGCCTTGAGCAAAAGCA